AAATAAAATTATGTTTCATTTTCTTTTCCTAAAATTTTATATAAGATCTTCGCATGATAAACATTTTATGTACAAACTATACTTGTATATTATTATTTATTTTATATTTTTATGAAATAATAAATAAAAATATATAGATTGAATAACTAAGAACTCAATCACTATTACGTATGTAAATAATTTGGTGCGTGCATTTAAATTAAAAAATTACTCTTATTTATTAACAATCATTTTATGGTAAATAAATCAAAACAATTACTTTTATACATCATATATTAAATACAATTAAATTTAAATGACATTAACAATATCTATAATATATTTTTAATATGGATTTTTAGTAAATGAATTTTCTCATTATAAGGTTTTATGATCATCAATATAGTTTTATAACAAAATTTTGAACTATAAAAAATCAAATGCAAATTTCAAAATTAAAAATTCGAATTCTTAATATTTTTCAATGAAAATATCAAATATGAGTATGTATTTTTATATGGTATGTAATTTAATTTAAATTATATATATATATGTATGTATTAATATAAACATATTAAATAAGACTTCTTACTCATGTATTTTAAAATTATTTGTATCTTATTATAATAAAATTTTAAACCATTGATCACAAAAAGTTAATTTGAGACTTTTAACATTTAGTAATTTATACATGTTTAAAAAAAAATACAATATATACGTAAATATAGATTTTTATTATATAAATAATGTAACTGTGTAATTTATTTTAATAGCAAATATTTAAACAAAAAGGTAAAGCGTGTACAATGAATAAGAACATTCATAATGGTGGTTTTTCACCAGTCCTTAAGACATAGTTCTAGGATAATCTGAATAAAATAATATTAACCAAGCTAAGTTTGCTAACAGATATCCATATTGTTTTAGTGGAATTAAAATGAATAACAGATCGGATCAAATTTTACAAATATTTTAATCCCCTAATAGTAACCTTAAAGAATCCATACTAAAAAAATGACTTAGCTTCAAAAAAGATAATATTACACTCAGAAAAAGACTCAAACATAGCAACATTTTAGTACATACTCTCAAGGAGCACGACACCGTGAACTCTCATCCTTTCTTCTTCATGAATCTCTCTGCCTCTTGTTCAGCATGAGGAGCAAACTGAATTGCCTCATTAAGTTCTCAGCACACTGTATGTGCAACTCCGGTGAAAATCTTGTTCCTCTATAGTAAGCATCAGGGTACTAACTGCCGAGAGAACCTCAGTTTCGTGCTGAGGACAAACTACAATCACATACATAATTTATATAATTCAACAAAATAATAGGCTTTACTTTCATTACTTATGGATCTTTGGTTATATACTTATATTACTGGCCACCATCCAAAGCAAATTGTTTTAAACATCCCCCCCCCCATGTCTCGCACAGTCGCACTACACAAACCCAACACTGGGTCACACGGCCAACATATTTGTCAGATGTGCGTAAACAACACCCCCTTCTTTGCCACCCTTGATAATATAAAGCATGGACAAGTTTTTGATAAAGTAAGTGAGGACAAATCGGAAAAGAGCCTATAGCATTGATTAATAGACCCAAGGATGGACAAGTTCTCTCTAATATCCGATTAAACTACATTATGTTTTGAACATTTGGATCATTGGAAGAACATATATAACACAGATACATACACAAGAATTTTTAGTCATGCATGGTTAGCATGGACATCAAAAAATTAGTTTGAAATCAACTGTCTTAGCTGCCACAACAATGGAAATATCAAGTTTAACAACCAAAGATAAATACACATTTATTTTTCTAACCTCACACGACATCTCAGCTATAGATATAATATATAATATCATGTAAGAGAAAACAAACAAAAAAAAAGAATAATTTCCCAAATACTAAATAATCGGAGTAGATGGTAACTTTTAGGGTAAAAGAAGTTCCCGTGAGCTATTGTGTGTGGAAGACAAGACACGGCAAGTCAAAAGAGTACATCCGTACGTAAAAAGTGTCCAACCCGTGTCGAGAAATATTTAGAAGAAATAGTCTTACTTAATAAAATATGGATTTGGTCTACAAATTATAAAAAAAAAAGTCTTTAGTAACCACCAACCAGACAAAGACGTCCAAAACAATACGCGACTCATAATCACAAACCTAGCTCCCAAGTCAAACCTTATATTCACTAGATGCATAGTCCCCGCGCAAGCGCGGGGGTTGGATACATTGTTGATGTGTTGTGTAGTTTTGTGTATGAGACTTTGCTAATTTTTTTTTAACATTTGTTTATCTGGCTTATCTATAATGGTGATGAATGAAACATTAGAAGTCACACAACTTGATTAGTCTGATAAAAGAATAAACATCAAATTCATATGGGTTGATATTTTCATATTTTATCTTCATAGTGATTTTATCGAGCATTCCCTTTATTAGTGATTTTATCGAGCATTACTGTTATTAGTGCTTTCATGTAAAAAAATAATTTAATGGAGACAAGAAAAAAATGACATGTGTTTATTAGTGTAATTTTCTTTCTGAAATTATGTTGTATATATATATATATATATTTTTTTTTTTTAATTGTGATGTATATGAGATTTATGGCCGATCTGAATGGTTCGGGGTAAATATTTATTATTGAAAAAATATGTTATTATTTTATTTGATTATTATAACTGAATTGAAATGATATTGGAGGTATGAACATGATAACATTTCTTATAAAAATATCTAAGATGGTCTCATAAAGTTTCAAATCCTTAAGCCATTTTGTATCCCAACAACCAGCATAAAAAATCATTCTGAATCTTAAGTTCTTAGGTATCCCAAAAAGCCCAAATTAAAAAAATAAATTTAATGCAAACACTACGTTTCGAACCCGCGCATTCGCGGTACCAACTTCTAGTCACCAACTTACATTGTTGATGTGTTGTGTAGTTTTGTGTATGAGACTTTGCTAATTTTTTTTTAACATTTGTTTATCTGGCTTATCTATAATGGTGATGAATGAAACATTAGAAGTCACACAACTTGATTAGTCTGATAAAAGAATAAACATCAAATTCATATGGGTTGATATTTTCATATTTTATCTTCGTAGTGATTTTATCGAGCATTCCCTTTATTAGTGATTTTATCGAGCATTACTGTTATTAGTGCTTTCATGTAAAAAAATAATTTAATGGAGACAAGAAAAAAATGACATGTGTTTATTAGTGTAATTTTCTTTCTGAAATTATGTTGTATATATATATATATATATATATTTTATTTTTTTAATTGTGATGTATATGAGATTTATGGCCGATCTGAATGGTTCGGGGGTAAATATTTATTATTGAAAAAATATGTTATTATTTTATTTGATTATTATAACTGAATTGAAATGATATTGGAGGTTAGAACATGATAACATTTCTTATAAAAATATCTAAGATGGTCTCATAAAGTTTCAAATCCTTAAGTCATTTTGTATCCCAACAACCAGCATAAAAAATCATTCTGAATCTTAAGTTCTTAGGTATCCCAAAAAGCCCAAATTAAAAAAAGAAATTTAATGCAAAGACTACGTTTCGAACCCGCGCATTCGCGGTACCAACTTCTAGTCACCAACTTACACCACTGGGCCATTTCATCACTCATTGATAACATTTAATCTTACAAAATATTATATGTTTTTGTTTTCCCTAATAACACACGTGGGGTCCGTAAACTTGCTGAGGTGGATAGGCTTAGGAGTCTTAAAAGTGTATCATTATAATATAGATTTTCATGGATGCGTGATTATGACTTTTTAATATCTTTTGTATAATCATTTATGTTTATATATAGAGAGAGAGAGAAAGAGAAGGAAGAAATTTGAAAGCTTGGGTCTATTTCTTTGTATCGTAAACTTCTTGCTTCTAGAACGACGACTTTTCATTACTTCCGTACGATTGACTATTTTAAAAATGATTTACGTACATGATATCTCGATTTCTCAACACTCAATATAATTAATTGAACTTACTGGTTATGTGAAAATTCATGGTACAAAGTTTGAAGCATCGGATATTTGCGGTCGGAGATGATAAATTTAAAAGATTCAAGCATCTGACCCTACGACACAAACTACTGCATACACAATTGTTGTTTTACTAGGTTCCAAATAGTGGAATCTTACCAAAACTCTTATAATATTAGTTACTTCCCCTGTTTTTTACTACATAACGTTTTATAGTAGAAAAATATTAGATATTAAATAATGTTTAATAAAATATTTATTCATATGTCAGCTATCTGATCATTTGTATTATATATTTATTGCATTATTAATCGAATTATGTTTAGATCAATAACTAATGGTGGATTATTTAAAATATTAAAAGATTTTTTTAATCTATGACACTATGTGTGTAATTTTAAGACATAATCTAATAGAAACAGAGGGAATACAAGTTTCAGTTGTCGAATAATTTTAAGGCTCTATTATTTATTGCAAAGTGATGTTTCATTCAAAAGGAATAATAATTGCAAAGTGGTGTAAGCATATGAGATTAAACAATCATTGTAAAAAGAAAGCATAATAGTTTTATTTACAATTTATACGTATAATATTGTCTACGTCACGCATGACAGTTAAGTGATGAGTCTGATGACACACTAGATACCAAATGAAATTTTTGTACGACAGGAAATGAAAAGTCCTAATGTTTCGCTGTTTGTTTGTCTTCACATTAATGGTAATCTTTGAGATACGGACGGTAAACAAAACATCACCCAAAACCAGTAATATCACTCTAATCATTTTCCCATCTAAATTTTCTAGAAACAAAAAGAAATATTAATTTAGAAAATTACCAAAATAAATATCAAAAGACTTTCTAAACAAAATTATCATTACGATTAAAGGAGAATCCAACGACTTTTTTTCTAAACCTTTTGGCCAAATTATACTTTACTGTATCCACTTGTTTGACTTTCTTGCACACAACCAAAAAAGAAAAAGACAAAGCCTGACCATTCTTCTTCTCTTCGATTCATCCCTCGTGCTTCTCATTAACACCAACCTTTTTTCTCATTTCTTCACCTTCTCCGATCTCTGTTCACATCTCTTTCTCTAAAGTTTTTATAATTCATCTCCCTCTTCTGCTTACAAACCATATCCTCTTCAAGAAACTAAAAGAAGAACAATCAAGAATCAGAAAAGAGGACAACAAGACCCTGTTCTGTTGTTGTCTCTGATGGGTTCTTGCTTCAGTTCTCGAGTTAAGGCTGAAAACCCTTTCCATGACGACGGTACCATCTCTTTTAACTATTGTTCATTCATATCTCTGTTTCTATAGGGTTGGTAAAATTTGGTTTAACACGTGTGTTTGTGTGTGTAGGTAAGAGCAGTGTTCTTTACGGTCTAAGCATGTCGAGCCGGAAATCTTCCTCGTCAACGGTGGCTGCGGCTCAGAAGACGGAAGGGGAGATACTTGAGTCAACGCACGTTAAGAGCTTCACCTTCAACGAGCTTAAGCTCGCAACTAGGAATTTCAGACCGGACAGTGTGATCGGAGAAGGTGGTTTCGGTTGTGTTTTTAAAGGCTGGTTGGATGAAACCAGTCTCACTCCGACTAAACCAGGAACCGGTTTAGTCATCGCGGTTAAAAAGCTTAACCAAGAAGGTCTTCAAGGTCACCGTGAATGGCTGGTACTGTGTTCAACATTTCACTTCTTCAAAACTTGAGTTATGTCTTTGTGTGATTGTGTTTGATTGTGTTGTGTTCTGTTCTGATGCAGACGGAGATTAACTACTTGGGACGGTTAAGTCACCCGAATCTAGTGAAACTTGTCGGTTATTGCTTGGAGGATGAGCACCACCTTCTTGTCTACGAGTTTATGCCAAAAGGAAGTCTTGAGAATCATCTATTCAGAAGTGAGTCCCGGTTCTTGATCCATATCTCTGTTTCTTGATTGATAAAACCTTACATAGCTTGCTTTCGTATTGTGTGTTTTTGTACTGATGGAAGTTGTTTTGAAGCAGGAGGTACATATTTTAAGCCGCTCCCTTGGTTTCTAAGGATCAAGGTTGCTCTTGATGCAGCAAAGGGGATAGCCTTTCTCCACAGTGACCCTGTCAAAGTGATATANTGATCCATATCTCTGTTTCTTGATTGATAAAACCTTACATAGCTTGCTTTCGTATTGTGTGTTTTTGTACTGATGGAAGTTGTTTTGAAGCAGGAGGTACATATTTTAAGCCGCTCCCTTGGTTTCTAAGGATCAAGGTTGCTCTTGATGCAGCAAAGGGGATAGCCTTTCTCCACAGTGACCCTGTCAAAGTGATATATAGAGACATTAAAGCCTCCAACATTTTACTTGACGCGGTAACAGAAAAAACACATATTCAAATAACTATATGATCTCACCTTTGTTTAGTTACATTTTAATTTATTGATGGCTTTTGTATCCATTAACAGGACTATAATGGGAAACTCTCTGACTTTGGACTAGCTAGAGACGGTCCAACGGGTGATCAAAGCTATGTTAGTACAAGGATTATGGGTACATATGGCTACGCCGCTCCTGAGTATATGTCATCAGGTAAAATATTTACCAATATTCCTGATATAAAGTATGATTTTTATGAGAGTATAATGGTTTGAATCATTGTTTTCAGGTCACTTAAATGCAAGAAGCGATGTGTACAGTTTTGGAGTTGTTCTTTTAGAGATTTTGACGGGTAAACAAGCGTTGGACGATAACAGGCCAGCTAAAGAAGAAAGCCTTGTGGAATGGGCTCGACCATATTTCGCAAGCAAACGGAAGGTTCTCAAAATCGTGGACGCTCGGTTAGAGACACAGTACCTACCCGAAGAGGCGGTGAGATTGGCCAGCATTGCGGTTCAGTGTCTCTCGTTGGAACCCAAGGCGCGCCCGACCATGGAACAAGTGGTCCGTGCCTTGCAACAACTTCAAGACAACTTGGGAAAACCAACTAAGACCGATCCGGTTAAGGATGCTAAGAAAGATAGGTTTAAAACCGGATCTAAGTTACCAGAAAGACAGTCCAAATAATAACCTTTTGGACGCCTAAGCCTTAATGAGACTTGGAGATCAGGTCAAGCTAGTGAAATGGTAATGGACATTTTTCTAATGAGTGCTTAGCACTGCGAAAATCCGTTTATAAACAGATAGAGTATGGTTATGGATAAACCATGCAGGTCAGAGACTATACTAATAAAGGAGAAGTACTATACCCAACCTTAGAGAACATGTGTTTAGCCTTTAGGCTTCATCGTGTGTTGTGGTATCTAGTGAAAGTATATATGAATGAAGTTATTTTCTACCTCTTGTGTTGGAACTCATTTTTTGTATTTTATTTTCTGTTCCTCAATACATTTGATGTAGAGATTTTTCTTTATCTCCAATTTTGGAATCGACTGTTTTCGAATGATACAAGTAAGAATAGTAGAAGTTAATCAAAGATGCAACACTGAGAAATCAAAGACGTAAGCTTAAAGAGTATGTTATTCGTATTTATCTTGCTGCATAATGGTCTTGTTTAGTTGTTTATATACGTTCATAAACCATAAAATTAAATCCAGAAAAAACTATTATGATATACGAAAAAGTCATACAATAACCCCTAGTCCCTTCGACATTATTTAACATTTCACACATATCATTTTTACAATCACTTTCCAAAAAAAAATTGTGACATGGCATACTAGATATGATAACATGAATTATCATTATTAAATGTGACATAAACAGTTATATTTAATATTAATTTCTATTTTGGTAAACATCTTAGAAGATGATAATAATTCATATACTGTCATTAAAATAAATCTATTTAAGTATAATATTAAATGATATAATAGTAGAAATGTAAAATACTTCACAAATTTCATAATATCATTTAAGTCTATTTTTATAAATTATACCATTTTTATTAATAAACATGATTTAAAAATTGATAAATTCTTATACAAAATTAAAATTTTAATAGTAATACCATTTGTTTCTTTTTGATATCTACATCAGTAATTTTGTTAGTTTTATTTTGGGGTAATATACATTTAAATTTTATACAATTTAATATATATTAACCAAAAATAAATAAATAAAAATTTATCTAAAATTAATTTATTTTAATAATATAATATAAATCAAATTGTTTATTTATCTTAATTTGTTTTTTGAATTGAAGTTATCTTAATATAACATAAATCAAATTGTTTATTTATCTTAATTTTATGTTTAACTAGATGAATATTTATATTAAAATATTGATATAAATAATAAAATTTAACATATTGATATATTTTAATTTTTTTATCGCTGCACATGTCACAAGAAAACACCTAGTTTTTTTAATAAACCCAAATCCAAATTTGTTCTTGACCAATTTGTCGGTTTGATGTTTTAATCAATTTTAATTTAATCGGTTTGGATTGGTTAAATACACTATCTAGTCAAAAGTCGGGAGAAGTCAACATTCAAATCAAACAACGCGTGTCGGCTCTTGTTTCTACATTCAAACAGTATGCCGTTCTTTTCAGCTTATCCATATAGAGACCAAAACAACTCCACTTCTTGTCGCAGAGAGGTTTTAGCCGCAGAAGAAAGGGTTTACTCTTCTGTCTGATCTTCAAGCTATGATGACGACAACAACCAACACAATCGCTATGCTTCAAAATCTCGTCTTCTCCGTTCCCATCTCACGCATGGTCGTTCGTCGCTACTCCCTCTCCACAGCCGCAATCTCCTCCGCCACAGCCGCAATCTCCTCCGCCACAACCGCCACACCATCTCTAAAACCAGCCTCTTCAAAACCGGTGCGTACTCCACACGTGGACTCGCAAGTCCTGCTCGGAATGTCAGAGCCGGAGCTTCAACAACTCGCTATCAAACTCGGTCAAGTAATAAAGGATCCAACTTTACGATTTAAAAACAAGAACTTGGAAAAAAAGGTTCTGACTTTATTGTGAAATTGTTGTTGCAGGAAGGATACAGAGGGAAGCAGCTTCATCATCTTATCTACAAGAGGAAGGCTAAACAAGTTGAAGACTTTAGTAACTGTAAGCAACAAATGATTTAGCTTTCTTCTTCCTTAGACATATGTATTGCTGATATGATTTTAAACTAATCTTCTAATTTTGAAAGTGCCACAAACGTTTCGAAACGAGCTTGTGGAAAGTGGTTATAAGGTGGGAAGATCACCCATTTACCAAACTGTTACTGCAACTGATGGTACCATTAAGGTATTTTAATTTAAACTATACAAATGTTCTTGTTTGATAGATGTTTAAACGGTTTTGGTTTGTCTTTATAGCTGCTGTTGAAGCTTGAAGATAACTTGTTGATTGAAACTGTTGGCATACCGGTCCAGGAAGAGAAGGGTATAACACGCCTCACTGCTTGTGTCTCTTCCCAGGTGAACTTGAGTTTCTCCTGTTGTTGGAGTTTCGTGTGTTTTTGGCTTTTGCGTCATTGGTGTGTTGAAGCTGTCTGATTTATAGGTTGGATGTCCACTGCGTTGCTCGTTTTGTGCTACGGGGAAAGGAGGGTTTTCAAGAAATCTTCAGAGACATGAAATCATTGAGCAGGTTTTACTTTTATTTTATCACCTCTTGTTTTCTGCAACTTATATGGATTAGGTGAAATGATATATTATATGGATTAGGTGAAATGATATATTGTTTGATTCTATTAAAGACCAGGGAAAAGAATTCTTGGTACATTGTAAACTTGAGCTTACAAGTGTGATTTAAATGTCTAGGTGTTGGCTATTGAGGATGTGTTCAAGCACAGAGTGACAAATGTAGTTTTTATGGGAATGGGTGAGCCAATGTTGAACCTAAAGTCAGTACTTGATGCTCATCGTTGCTTAAACAAGGTAACATTTTCCCTAAATTTTTTATAGTCAAGTAGTTGTCTTGCTTCATTTGCTTGTGAATAAATTTAAAATGCATAGATAGATAATGTGACTGTAAGTTGGAAAATAGGACCAGGTTATGTTCTCATAGATGATTGCTATCTTTGTAGAGATATTGAGTTGTATACTGCTAAAACAATAAGATATAGCAGTTACGACATTGGTTGTGCTTTTTTCCTATACATTCAGGACATTGAAATCGGGCAACGAATGATTACAATATCAACAGTTGGTGTTCCCAACACAATCAAAAAGCTTGCCTCTCATAAGCTTCAGTCTACTTTAGCTGTCAGGTTGCTTCTTCACTTTCTCGTTTTGTTCACTTATTGTTCTATAAACAAAACCATGCAACGTCTGCTCTTGATCTATCTTCTCTCTTTGATTGCCACATCTTTTATATAATTGACTCATTCTTGAGCTTTTCTTGTGTCAAATCAGCTTACATGCTCCAAACCAGAGTCTCCGGGAGAAAATTGTACCAAGTGCCAAGGCTTATCCACTGGAAGCAATTATGAAAGATTGCCGTGATTACTTTCAAGAAACTAATAGACGAGTCTCCTTCGAGTATGCTCTTCTAGGTATGTGAGACTTGAGATCAGTTTGTCTCACTCATTAATAACATTAACTTTTAACACAAGTTGAAAAATGATGATGCAGCTGGAGTCAATGATTCAGTTGAGAACGCTTTGGAACTCGCTGAGCTACTACGTGAATGGGGCAAAACTTATCACGTTAACTTGATACCTTACAACCCCATAGAAGGGTCAGAATACAAGCGACCTTACAGGAAAGCAGTATGTTAAAATAATAACCATTAGGCCTGAACATTCTGTCTTTGGTTTGGTTTGGTCTGTAGTTCAGATGATTAAGTCTCTAATCTCTTTAGTTAATGGATTGTACAGGTTCAAGCGTTTGCGGCTGCATTGGAGTCTCGTAAGATAACAGCAAGCGTGAGGCAAACAAGAGGGCTTGATGCGAGTGCTGCTTGTGGTCAGCTGAGGAATAAGTTTCAGAAAAGCCCTTTAGTCGCTGAGACGGATGGTCAAGAGTCTAAGCCAGATGCAGAAGCTGTTTCCTGTTAGTGTCCTGGTTTGGACAAATCTCCGGTTTGAAGAGGAGACTTGGTTCAAGTCAAACTTTGCCTTTTGGTTGGTCAGTGCACTGAAGATGAATGGACTGAAAGTACGTTAGAGAAGTGAGGTCTTGGCTTTATAGATTAGGCTTTTATGTCTATGATGTATACTCCAGTGTAAGAGTGAGCAAACTTAACTAAAATCCATAAATTTTAAAATTTTCAAAAGGCTTAACTGAATTCAAAGCAAAATTTCCCTTGAGCAAAAATGGTAGATGTACAAACATATGGCACAAATTACGTTATCTATTTGTCATTTTAATACTAGATATCTCATGTAGAATTAAACAACAATGTTTACATTAATGCTTTCAGCGGATTTAAACTAAACCCTATTAAAGTGTGTTAAATAAAATAGTAAAAAAATATAATGGGAAGTGAATAATAAACTTTAGCTAAATTTGTAAGTGGTAAACCCTATTAAAGTGTGTAAAATAAAATAGTAAAAAAATGTAATGGGAAGTGAATAATAAACTTTAGCTAAACTTGTAAGTGGAGAAGACATGTTACGTTCATATCACCAAAAGAAAAGGAAAAATGAATAACAAGTGTAGACTTGTGTTACGTTTGCATCAAATGCTGTCGGGATATACTATTTTAATTTCATCGGTCAAAAAAACAGTTCCCACCACTCATTAAAGGCTTTTAGACCTATAGCCATTGAATTATTCTTGTTTCTCGTTACCAAATCTAAGTGGGATCCTCGTGGATCTTATCACTAACGTGCATTAACTTCATTCTTACTCTTTAAGTAACTCTTTTGTAATTGGCTAGTTAATAACAAACCAGAGGATTAGTATATACTACAGACTATAATGTAACATAACCATGTTTTAGATCATACTAAGTTAAACGTTACAAGTTGTAACTTACAACAACCCAACCATGTAAAACACTTAAGTAGCTGCGGGCTGTTACAAAATTTTCTCACAGCCACTTCAACTACTCTTTCTCACTCTCCCCCTTCACAACTACAACACCAAACCCCAAAATAAAATAACAATTTAAAAAGAAAACACACACAAAAGTCAAAGATACTATTCTCCCCCACACCTTTCTCTCCGTTCCATATATAAACTTTTGAACCCAAATAAAAAAAGGAAAAGCGAAATTAGCGGAGAGTTTTCTCCTGTCTCGAAACTTGCTTTTAGACCCTGAAATTCTTCCCGACAAACGTTTGACCAAACTGCCAGTTAGAAGGAACAATGTTCCATGAAGTAGAGGTTCTACGGTCACTGCCTGTGACTCGGAAAGAAAGTGACTGACCAACCAGAACAGCGTTGGATTGCCAGTTCTGACCCCAGTTCCTGCTCAAACTCATCCAATTAGTCCGTGAACCTTTCACGCTCGTCCTCACTATGTCTCCTGCTCCCGCCACGTTAGTGATCAGAACCAAGTTGAAGTAACGGTGACCGTTTATAGTGAATCTTATTCCTCCTCTCTTTCTACAAGGCACCCTACATAAACAAGGACCAACATTTGTTTAACACTCGTTTAATCACTCACTCTTTACATTTCAAGCAAAATTTAGAAAATTAGTGCATTAGCGAACACTTACGACCATAATTAATCCGAGATTTTTAAGTTGGAGTTCTTAACTGAAGTTAAAAAAAAGTTTATTCACTTCAGTTAAAAATCTTAACTTAAATTTCTTATTTAAGAACTGATTCTTATCTTTTTTTTAGTTAGTTAAGAACTATTTTTAACTTCCACTAAAAATTTCATGATAAGAATTTCGAGTTAATCATGCTCTCATAAACAAAATCTATAGTTGCATTTTTATCGTAAATAAATCTGCTATCTTGTTGTAAATAAAATACTAGTAACAGAATAACACACAAAAATCAGTTTCTTGTAATTTTTTGTTAGTAGTGGAAGTTCTTTTTAAGAATCAGTTTTTATATATTCTGATTTATCAAATAAATAAATTTAAGTTTGTTTTGAACCGAGGCACAATGGAACTAATCCTTTGCGCAACTACTACGTCCTTGTGTTTTTAACTAACTAATTCTTGTTTAGCCATTTATATTTTATGCTTAATGTTCTTGTTAATATTGCAAAGGTCCCAAACATGTAACGCAAAATTTTGTACCTGCGGTATGAGACGGGGACAATGCCTGCACGATACTGAGCAATTTTGAGGAAGACAGGCATGGCAAGATCGAAGTGAGCGCGAGGGGGGTTGCACCATCCTCCGTTGTCACTGGCCTGAGCAAAGTTTGGTGGACAGAAGTTGGTTGCGGTAATGAGGATCGATGGGCTACCTGAATGGCACCATTGTGGGTCGTTGGCGCATTTTAGTTCAAAGCAGGCTCCACAACTCATACCGTTGTTAAACAGCGCCGTACTCAAAGCAGCCGTGTTAGTTCCATAACCTTGGCTGTATAGGTTCCCGTAACCACAAGCTCCTCCTGTTTAAAAAAAAAAACATTATGTTAAAAAAAATATTAAATGGTGCATTTGTTCTGCTTTTATGCTCTGTTTGTGGACTGACCCATAGTGCCGGAGGCATCGCTGCCACCGTAGAAAGTGGCGTGTGCGGTTTGCCACGCGCCGCCGGAGTAAACGCCGGGTATTTTTGCGTCGGCGAGGCTTAAGAGGAGACATGTTGTAAAGAGAATTGCTAGTTTAGGCATTTTGTGTGAGTTGTTAGAATAAGGGTTCTTAATTACTATGAACACAAAGAAGATGAAGAAAGAACAAGAGCGCTTTTGAGCTTGCGCTCTTGTCTAAGAAGAAGAGTTGTGTTTTGTTAAATGGAGAGATGATGGGGAGTAAGAAGAACTAGAAGTGAGGTTCGGTATTTATGGAGGGAAGGAAACTCCAAAGTTAGAGAGAGAATACTTATTATTTTCTTTATTTTGATTTCTTTTGCCAAAATTGAGCTTAAAAAAAATCGATTGCTGTTTCTACAATTCTACTTAATGTGGAAGTAGGTTTGTAACCGTTTTGTCATATTAAAATCTTTTACATAAAAGAAGACTAGCTTATTCTATTTCTCACATAGATTATAACCAGATTAATGATGCTCGACAATATTTTATCTCATTTGTTTTCCTGGATCTAAAATAATAGTATGTGACTTAGAAACTTATGCTAGAAAGAATATGGAGTTGACTTATGCGAGGCGTTCCATGCTTATGAGAGTTTTTGTATTTTATACAAATGTATTTTTATGGTTGTTTCTCTGACCAAAATGCATAAAGCCTTTTTTGTCATTTGACTCTTATCTCTTTTCACTTGTTTAGTTCTGCGGCTAATCTAGTTCAAAGAAACTGACCTTAGTGTTTGGCTGTTTATCAGTTTTCTTTTTATTAATCTTGGTTGACCAAAAACAATAATGCAAAGACAAATAATTAACTCGACGAAAAATTTATGTTATAGTTAACCTGCCTATTATTCAGAATAAATCCTCCACAAGCATATAACTGATATATGGAATCTAGAGAAGACTAAAGAGCAATGGTCCGTAAATTCATGGTTATAAAAACACCACACAATGACTGTTTTTTTTAGAGCATAAATTAAGCGAGGTTTTCATTACGAATTGGATTGAGTAAATATAAAGAGAATAGATTTGGTTTGCTTTAAAAAAACAAGTTGCAGACTTGCAGCCTCAGTCACGAACAGATTTTGCTAAGCTTAACAGTAACACCATCATTACTTCTTTAATCTTTTTCTATTTTCATGCATAAACCATCTTTAGTTATGCCAAAAACTCAATATATACCTAAAGTTATCAAATCCTTCATATTCACTATACCTGATATTAAGTAGTTGCTGCTAAACAAATCATTCATGTTTATCTTTTGATTTGTAATTTTTATATCTTTTAACAGCTTTTTATCGATTGCCGCCAATTATGACCTTGTATTCAAGATATTTCATTTTAGAGCGTAGACACTAAACAGAGGCTCAGGCTCCCACTATCATAGAAGAATGTGATTTTTTGTTTTTCATTTTATCAAATAGAGTTTGAAAGAAAGAAAAAAAAAAGCAAATTAAATGAAGGACCCACAATGCCCGCATTCATCGGCCCACTTATTGCGCCGTGCATTAGCCGTACGTAAAGTGATACACTCGATCAGACTTATATTCCATCGGACCTATTTGGGGGTTAGTCAATGTTTTATGTCATGAAAATTGTCGAATTATCTACATTAAAGAGCAAAGCTTTCTATTTCTTAGTTCTCACGTGAGAAAAGTCAAAGCTTCATATTGAGTCGAGGAGAATCAAGGATGCTAGATCATATTGTAATAATTGGAGCGAAACTCTACTTAGTTAAATATATGAAATTGATAATCGCACTAACCTACTTCCCTCGCGCATGCTAGGCCTCGAACAAGAAAAAAGAATAAAAAACGTTCAGTAGGGAAATCATCATTTAATAGAACACCTTAATTTAAGCTTAGGAAAATTCTCTCAAATAGCCTTATTTTAAGTTTTTATCACAAAAATATACTTCAAAAATTAAAATGATCAAAATAGTACTTTTTATTTTAAAATTTTTAAGTTTTTTTAAAAAAAATTTAAATTCGAAATCATATCCCCAAAACCTCACTTCTTAATTCTAAACGAAAAAGTATAGTATAGTATTAGTTAATCCAAAGATATAAATATATATTTAATAAAATATTTAAGTGTTATTTTGGTCATAGTATTAGTTAATTCAAAGATATAAATATATATTTAATTAAAATATTTAAGTGTTATTTTGGTCATTTTAATTGTTAAAGTCTTATATTTGTGATAAAACTTTTTTAAGTCTATTCTAATTATTTTCTCTTAAGGTTAAGGGATTATCATTTAATAGAACACCTTAATTTAAGCTTAAGGGATTGGACCAAAAACGACCATTGCTACGTTTATGTCTTCCCTTTGCATGAATCGATGTCTCGCACTCATAGTTATTAGGCTTTACGCAACACTCTCTTTTGCAAAAGATTAGATCCCAAATTTGTCACGCAAAGCATAATTCGGAATCCTATATACATATTATTATGTTTCACCTTTTTTTTCATTTCATTGGATTCCTATACAGTATTTTTATTTGTACTTATATATTTATTTCAGTCAAGCTTTGACCATTTATATATTCTAGGAATGATTAGGTTCTTCTTTGTTTGTCTATTTGGATGCTGCATGCATAATATGTTTACTTTTATTTTAGTAGTATTAGTAACAAGAAAAGAACAACCTTTACTAATAGTGGTGTGATTGGAAATAACTGATTTTGTTACTTTGACTACAAAGGTGTTGCTTAAGAAGAAATCCAAGTTATTTAGGACATATATTCATATGCTTTATCTTGATAACATACTTATCAACTAACTTAACCTCATGACTATACATTCATTTTAGTAGGTTCATGTCTCCATATACGATTTTCTTTAAGTTGAGATTTTCAAAACAAGAGTCACCTCTCTTTTTTGACATTTAGAAATGTTTTTTGGTGAATCCCCAAAATAACAGTAGTTAAAGTTGATAAAAATAGCACTTAATGATAAAAAAAACTCCAAATAGCACATGGTGTATTTAACATGAAAACATTAAATTACTCTAATTTCTAAACCTTAATTTCATCTACCCATTAAATACTAATCACTAAATGCAAACTTATAGTAAGATTTATACGAGTTGTAATAGCCTGAATAATTTTTTTCATGTTATTCTTGTTTTAGGGCATTTCCAATGGCATACTGGTTTTTCCTCTTTAATTTACACTAAAATAAAATAATTATACTATAGAATATATTTTCTTCTAATGATTTTCTTTATGATAGAGTTATTCTATTATAGATGAATGTCACTTTTTCACTTTATATTTAAAGTGAAATAATGGTGTTATTCTATATTTCACTCTATATAGAGTAATTCTATTATAGAATCAAAATTTACATTATAATTGAGTTACTCTATTTTATTTATTGAAGATAGTCTTAGGCCACTCAGATGGTAGGCAGGGCACTGGGTCATAGAGGCTGCTGGCCTGTTTATTAGCCAGGCTATCACAGTTTAGAACATTATTTATAATTATATACTGAAAGCACGATCGTGGAAACAAAGTAAAATTATAATGGATTTTTTTTTTTTGGACAAAAATTATAATGGATCTTTGAATTCTATCATCTGACTTGTGCTCAGTTCAGGAAGTTAGCTTAGCGTGGGTTTAGCTCAGGCAAAAGAGTATGGGCTTAACTTAGCGTGGGTCTAGCTCTGGCAAAAAAGTACGGGCTTTAAGCCCAGTAAAGGAAACTGGTACTAAAAATATATATCAAACAATTGCCAAACCTATCTTGTTTGTGTTTTATTTAGGATTTTAGCTTACAACTTGGTTATTTATATAATAAATAGAAATCTATCGTGACAAAAAATATAATAAATAAAAATCAAAGTAATAACTTGAATAACACTAATTTTTCTATAAGATTTTTAGTAGGGTTAGGGTTGAATCTAGTTTTTTTAACGAGTTATTAGCTTCAGTTTAGCCAAGATGCCAAACATGTTCATCAGTGTTATGCATCTAATTTTGAATTCAAAGAAGATGCTACAATTGAGATGAGATCTTACAAAAAAAAAAAAAAGACATTGGAAGTATTCAAACCATTTACGTGTTGAAATGTAAGCCAATGTATCCGTTCTTTCTTTATGTTTCTTTTCCGCCGAAACAAATATAAGACGAAATGAACGATTACCGCAGAGACTATCACTGCTATATATAGAAACAATGTCTTTATTAGTTAACCAAATATAATGTAAATGTCCTTGGATTTAGTATACTAACCTCGTAACGGTCAAATTAGAGCTCGTGTATCGAGGTTAATCTTCCATGTTACATAGGTATTATCACAATTCACATGCATGAACACACAGGCTAATTGGATTCAAAAGAGAAACAGTCTAGTACACTACTAGTTTAATATAGTATTATCAATTGCGACATTGTGGAAATAGAAGCGGAGAAAATTAGTGAAAATATTGAAGGATATAAAGAATCAGAACATTTTTCTACGTATAGTGAGATCTAAATGCGATTAAAGGGTATTTAATTATGAAAGTTTGTTTATAGATCTAGTGTTTGTGACGTTTTAACTGTATTACGTGGGTTTACATATCAACGATGAAAAAAATGAATACACGTAAATAAAAAATACATACAAAACTTGAGAAAGAAAATCGAATATCTCGTGGACCTTTTTTATCCACAGGAAGTATCATGTCAGAAATGCCATGTGACGAGTTTAATATATTCCCATTCGTTCCCCTATGAACACATGAATTTTTCTTCCACGCATCAATAACATTCACATAGTTTTCTCAGATTTAAACAACCATTATCTAATCTATCATGAATTACATCAGAACGTAAAATGTTACCTGTTTTACCCCAAAAATCCCAACCAACTGATCTTAAGACTAAATTTAACTTCTTCCATTTGATCTTTGTTTAAAATCCCAAATGGTATTGGCTCTAATAAATATATAGGACAGTATTGCCACACTAGATCTTAAACTCAAATAAAGAATAAAATGAAATAAACGAAATTAAGACGTAACGCAATAACTCCACGAGCGAGAAGATATATATTTGTTACCACTACATGCAGCACAGCAGCAGAGTGAAAACGGTCTATGGAGGAAGAGAACGTTACAAAAAAAGATAAGAAAGTGAACCCGACCAAAGGTAGAAATAGAGACTGGAGAAAATACAGTGAACACGTGCTTTGAAGTTTGCAGATTCTCTTCGTGCAAAATTTTAAAGAGAAGAGAGAACTTTGACCGTTGACAAAGAAAGAGGGCTACGTCGGTCCCCTGCGATACTCGAGACCTCGCTTTCACACTTCTCTACAAACACGTGTCAGCGGTGACGCCGACCTGTTAGCCGCACGTGCCTCAACGTCGACACCAGAAGAGCCACACAATTTCTGGTTAACGGTTCATTCACTTTGACCTTTGCTTTGTTTCCTTTCAAGTAATTGCGACGCTCCCACATTTATAAACTCGCGTGGATATGAACTTGAGAGAAGAAAAAAAACATAACCAAAAATGATACTATATGATCAGTTTAGTGTTAAAAAGAAAAAATTCGGTGGTGATAGTCTAAGTTTAACCTCGTACTACGGTATAGTTTTTTTCTAAACATCTATAAACTCATGCATGTTTTTAAGTATGTTTGAGCATGTACAACGAAATTCACTTAAGGGATATAAAACCATCGAATTTCAGTTGCAGGTCACAAGAATCTAATTTCAGTGTCGTAACTTTTGCTTTTCGAATGCTTTGGCAGTCTTTAACAGAAAGTGACAAAGATATAGAGTTGTCACACCCTTCCACTATTACTATTATGAATTTGTCATGTTATAAAATTTTGGCTGTTATAGCTAAGAGCATGTTTATCGCTGAAAACAAAAAAAAAAGTGCTTAGATTTTTTTTTTTTGGTTTTTGCTGGATTTAAAAAAAAAAAAAATAAAAAAAAAATAAAAGGACCAATCGTGGGCCGCCACGTGTCGTGGGGCCCGCGGAATAGTCCAAGCAACAAGCAGAAGTCGACGCTTCTTCGGGCACTTGAAGCACCGAGTTTTATCTTTTTGTGGGACCCTTCCCTTACTTTTTG